TTATTGAACAAAATTATTTCAGATCTGGATTCAGCAAAATTGTTCTTTCCGTGTACTAATGAATAACAGTTTTTTGGCGCGTTAAGCGCATGCCAAACACATTACATTTTTATTAAAACAATGGCAGGTATAACTTTCATTCTGATATATTCATTTGCAGCATTCGAATACACTTGTCAGTTATATAGGTGCTTCAATATTGTACGAGTAACGATATATCTCCCGTTCGTGCATATTGCACGTTCCGCTTCGAATTAATTTATAATGCTATTTAGCAGTAAATATCTTTGTATCATAAGTACCTGCGATGACAAATATTATTTTACCACGTATTGTGCTTAACAAATTATTGTCGTTGCATACTTTCACGGAATTCGCTACTTTATTCGCCTACTTCATGAAGAATTGGTATTGCTGCAGAGATACAGGAGATATATTTAATAATCGACATTCAATAGAAACTACGAGATTTTATTAAAATGTTAACAATTTAAGTAACGCTATATTTGCATCAGAATTTGATACATGAGCAAACTAATTTGTTGTACACTTTTAACTTTTATTGTTAAATCGGAAAATTATTGAAAACTCAGAAAAGGAGGAATTCCATATATGCACAAAATTACACTGTGATAAAGAATAAATATTATAACATCAATTTTTGTTATATGATTAATACGAGTAATTGCACGAGAAATGTACGTAGATAAATAATTATTATAGTATTACTACATGTAATTATAAATGTAAAATACTTTAAATATTTTTAGATATATTTTTTGACACTATACTTTTATTATTTTACTGTCACTGTATTTAATAAAATCGCTCATGCAATTGTAGTATTGTAGGAACTAATTTGATCAGAAGAATATAGGATGTGTGTTTAACTGTTAGATTTTTTGGGAGACAAATAAAAATTACATTTGAACTTTATTTTCATTGTCATGTTACAATTTCTTTCTTTGTGTTATTATTTCGTCACATTTAAATTGATAGTTTATCCGTTATCGCAATTTCTTTCTTTCAAACAACAACAATTTTTCAAAATTGTAGCTATTACGCAAAACTACCTGTCTAAGGGCAAAAGTCAAGAGAACATGCTCATACAATTTTGCAGATAAGACAAATGTAAAAAAAGACGTAGAACACTGCTGGCCAAGAGTTCGAGATTATTAACTGAAAAATCCAATATAAAATAAAATCTAATTTATGCATTATAATTCAACATATTTTACTCATTGTTTTATAATAAAATTAAAAAATAATATCAAATGTTTGAAAATATTAAACATAAATGTTTCAAAATATTAGACAGATTGAATGGAAAGTTCAGCGGAAAACAATTGATACACGAAACGTTTTAATAAGAAGTGTATACAAAAAATAGAAATTTCCGTGACTCTGCAGTGCATTTATTGATAGGTAAGGATTATAGAAACTTTCAATGCGCGTAAGAACTTCAGCACTTCAGTGAGTACTAAAACAAATATGTTTGTTGTCCATTAAAATTATTACATCTATTAATAAATAGTTTTACAAAAGGTACAGATCTTTTTTGCCCATCAGAGCTCGAGTGATGGATATAAATCATAGATGAAATTCCTAATAAAAACCTTGTTTTAAATTATCTATACTTTTTCATTTGATAGTACCGCCTAAAAGATTTCTTACAATTTTCGTTTTTGTTATATTTATAAGAAATAAAGAAATATAATAGAAGAAGAAATAAAGTAAAATAAAGAAAGCTTATAGGAATCATGATAATCAATCGATTAATAATTCTTATAATTAGCATATTCGATTTTTTATTTGCCTTTTATCTTAGAAAATTTTGCTGAAATTTCGCGAAAGAAAGAATCGTGAAATTCTTAAAACGCAACAGTTTATTCTAAATCTGTTAAATCGATCTACAGAGTGTGTGCTTAAGTCGTGTTTAAATATAAAACTCTTTTGAAATTGAAATAAAATATTTTGCATTTTATTTTCACTGCTATAGCATGGCTTTCAACAGTAACGCAAAAACGGCGCAACGCAGAACGTGATAACAAATGGAAAATTTTGACATATAGCAATTTTTTTATCAGGTATGAAATAGCATAGGTTAGGTGTATACTTTTTAGTTGTTGTGCTATTCATCTCTATTTAAATTATCAAATTATTTCATTTTCTTTTCACTCTTTTTAACAATAATTTTTGGAAATTGAAACTGTTGTGTATGGAAGCGAGGTAATTGTAAGAATTGGGATTACTCACAGCTGGCAATAATGAATATCTTTTATTGCTAGAATATATACAGGGTGTCCCGTAATGACCGGACCAACGCTTAAGAGTAGATTCCTGAGATTATTTTAAGACAAAAGTTCCAATACCAAAATGTTGAGGCTATAATAGTTTTTGAATTATAAGTGTTTAAAGTTAACTAATCAAATCGTCTAAAGTTGGCACGCTCAGGTATGGCACAACGTAAACTCCTAAAAACAAAAGTTGACTTATCGCCCCTTTTATTAATATCGATATAAGGATTAGATCGGAAGAGCACACG